AATGTAACACGTGATAACCATTTTTAGGTTTATCATCTGTATTATCACATATCACATGCACTTAGTTTTCGTGGAAGTACAGCTGATAACTGACTTAAAAGGACCAGGAAATGCCCAGTTTTCTGGTTTTGTCTTGCTGCAAGGGATTCCAACCTTCCAGGAGCCAACTCTGTGACTATTTACCAAAGTTTCTATATTAAGGATTGGGCGATGCTCTGTCACTTCATATTAAGATACTAACTTCCTGCCCCCTGCTTCTCAGGATCCGGGATCTACAAGCATTTAGCTATTATATAACCCTAACCAATATCTGAAATATAGAACAACATTCTACTGCCCCTATCATTGCATATTATTATTAGATGTGTTATAGTCTGCAATAAGATTTTTAAGTAAAAAAAAACACAGTAAAACTAATTTTAATTTCATTCTAGCACTGCTTAGCATAGTGGACTAAATTGTTGAAATACTTATCTCTTTTTCTCTATTGAGTTAGTCCGCTAAAATGAAAAAACAAGTTGCGATCCACCAGTGTTTTTGGAAAATAAGAGTGTATGCCAATATACCATTTTTTATTTTTAATATTATCTTATTATTATTTTCACATCCATGTGAAAGTGTAGGGAATAACCCCAGGCTAATAATAGATCTGCAGTGTCATTGTCCAGATTGACATATGGCACACATGAGCAATCCTAACACAATCCCTCTAGAGATAACACATACAAACACATTGCGTATTATGCAAGCAGACACCTGTGGCAATATTTGGTAATGAATGTTCACAAAAACACAGCTGAAAAAAAAATGATTGTAATGGTGGTTAATGTACAGACTTGTGCTGAAAAACTACTATTATAGTAGATACTAGTATAATATTCATAAATATTGCAACTCTTGTTATCAAACTTACAATGATTTGATATTAACAGAGCTACAAATGTCATGACAATACACTTTTTTATCATATTAACAAGAGAGCAGATGTGACATTCTGGTTTCTCTCTTGGGTGACCTTTGTGTGATGTGATAGGGCTAGCCAATTTTCAAATGCACATGGAAGATAATGCCCATCAATATTTACCTATGTTAAGCAAATTACTGTTTAGTGTAACTAAAGCATTCATTACAGTCAATAATTAAAGTATGCTTCTCACTATGCTTCTCTGTATTATACACATTGGCTCGTTAGTGCAGTGGTAACATTATTGCCTTAGAACCGGGTAGCACAGTCAGACAACTTCACCATTAAGTTTCCTTGGGCATGACACTTACCAATATATATCCACCCACCTTAAATCCTCATAGATTATAAATCAGCTTGAGCAGGGCCTTCTTCACCTCTAAATATCCACTTTCTATATTAGTCAATAGCTGCTGAATATGTTGGCACTGTATAAATGATAATAATAATAACTGAGGATTGGAGTACATTGTGTTAACCCAAATCATTGATGTTAAAGGGTTGCTTCATGTATAATGAAGGTTAATTGTACACAGAATGAGTTAATTGGAGGAAATGAATGTGTTTTGTTCTGTTTTTCTCTGTTTTTAATTGTCATTGTATTCCCTTGCCACCAATTAGTGTATCTGTGTACAGTCTCAGTAGGTGTCTTGGATACTGTCTGAGGATTTGAAAAGTGGAAAAAAAGAAACATCAACTAGGTTTTAACCAACCATGACTGTTTTTATATATCAAAATATTATTTGTTTTTTAAATTAATTCTTGAAGTAATGCTATGGCAGCATTACATAGTTACATAGCTGAAAAGAGACATGCATCCATCAAGTTCAGCCTTCCTCACATATGTTTTTGCAGTTGATCCAAAACAAGGCAAAAAAAAAACAGTTTGAAGCCCTTTCCAATTTTGCAACAAACTAGGGGAAAAAATCCTTCTTGACCCCCAAATCGCAGTCAGAGCTCTACTTGGAGAAACTATCACCCCACAGATTAAAAATTATTTCCTTGAATATTATGTTTATGCAAGTATTCATTCAGTTTAAACATCTGTAAAGACTCGGATAAAACCACCTCTTGAGGCATAGAATTCCACACCCTCATTGTTCTTACTTTAAAAAATAAATAAAAAAAACACCCTTTCCTTTGCTGTAGACTTGATCTCCTTTCTTCAAGTCTAAATATGTGACCTTGTGTCCTGTTTAAAAAGACAATGGTTTGTATTGCACCCAATTATATTTATATAATGCTATCATATCCCTTCTGAGGTGCTGTTTTTCTAAATTAAACAAACTTAAATTTGTTAAAGGAACACTATAGTCACCAGACTAACTTAATGTTAGTTGTTCTGGTGAGTATAATCATTCCCTTCAGACAATTTCATGCAAACACTGCCTTTTCAGAAAAAATGCAGTGTTTACATTGCCCTCTAGGGACACCTCCACTAGCCACTTCTCAGATGACCACTGGATATGCTTCCTGGGGCAGTGCTGCACAGTGTGCACCATTGCAATTCAGGGAGTAGAGGGGCAGCAACCTAAATGGTGGTTTTAACATTACAGGGTCAGGAACAGAAACATTTGTTCCTTTAACCTTTCTTCATAAGAAAAATGTTCCATTCCATTTATTATTTTGCAGCCTAGCTCTGCACATTTTCAAGTGCCATAATATCTTTCTTTAGAACAGGTGCCCAAAATCGAACAGCATTAGAGTTGAGCGAACCCGGACTGAAAATTAAGTTTCTTGGACCCCGGACCTGAACACTGACATATCACTGTATGTTCGGGTTGGAGTTCGGTATTCGGCGAACATTACGTTTCTTGGACCCCGGACCTGAACACTGACATATCACTGTATGTTCGGGTTGGAGTTCGGTATTCGGCGATTTAATGGCGCGTTTTGAAAGGCTGCAGAGCAGCCAATCAACAAGCGTTTGACTCGTGTGCCCTTAGAAGCCATCACAGCCATGCTTACTAATGGCATGGCTGTGATTGGCCAGTGTAGCATGTGGCCCAGCCTCTATATATAAGCTAGAGTCGCGTAGCGCCGCACGTCACATGAGCTCTTATTAGTGTAGGGACAGGATGCTGCCGCTTTCAGAGACAGATTAGGAAGGAATTCTGCAAACTAGTACATTAGTGGGATGCACTTCATATCTGAGAGTCAAATAGAAGCGTCAAATACTGTGGTTACATCGGAATTTTAAAAAGTCAATTTCTTTGGGTGCTAAAAAGTACATTAGTGGGGTGCACTTTATATCTGAGAGTCAAATAGAAGCGTCAAATACTGCTGTCACATTGCAGTTTTAAAACTTTAAATTTTTTGGGTGATAAAAAGTACATTAGTGGGGTGCACTTCATATGTAAGAGTCAAATAGAAGCGTCAAATAGTTCGCTTATAGTGCAGTTGTAAACATTCTAATTGTTTTTCTGCTAAACTGCTAAATAGTAAATTTTGGGGCCTGCTCTTCATATCTGAGAGTCAGATAGTGTTCTTACAGCGCAGTTGTAAAAATTCTTATTTTCTGGGTGCTAAACTGCTAAATAGTACATTTTGGGCGTGCTCTTCATATCTGAGTCAAATAGAAGCATCAAATAGTGCGCTTACAGCGTAGTTGTAAACATTCTTATTTTCTGGGTGCTAATCTGCTAAATAGTACATTTTGGCGCCTGCTCTTCATATCTGAGAGTCAAATAGAAGCGTCAAATAGTGCGTTTACATCGCAATTGTAAAAATTCGTATTTTTGGGGTGCTAAACTGCTAAATAGTACATTTTGGGGCCTGCTCTTCATATCTGAGAGTCAAATAGAAGCGTCAAATAGTGCGCTTACAGCGCTGTTGTAAAAATTCTAATTGTTTTGCTGCTAATCTGCTAAATAGTACATTTTGGGGCCTGCTCTTCATATCTGAGAGTCAAATAGTGCGCTTACAGCGCAGTTGTAAAAATTTTCTGGGTGCTAATCTGCTAAAAAGTACATTTTGGGCTTGCTCTTCATATCTGAGAGTCAAATAGAAGCGTCAAATACCAATATAACAATATTGTAATTCGGGGGCAATACCCTCACAAGTCAAACTGAGAGGTCAGTTTATAGGGAAAACTGTTGCCTGGATACAATTCAAAAACAATTTCCATATGTCCTTTGCAGACTTTACATGCTGGAAAAACACAGGTGCCAACTGCTGCGGCTTTCTGCAGTGTGCAGACCGGCAATGAGGGCAGGGTTGAGGAGTGGGTGGAAGATGATGTGGAGGATGATGAGGTCCTAGACCCCACATGGAATGAAGGTCATGCGAGTGACGTGTGCAGTTTGGAGGAAGAGGCGCTGGTCGCACAGAGGCACAAGCATAAGAGGGAGCAGGGTGCAAAAGAGGAGCAGCCGTCCCCTAGCGCTTGTCGGCATGTATTATCTTTAGAATTCCCACAGTTATCCAAGTAACAGATGGAGCGATAAAAGGAACCATAACAGATTTAACGAGCCATTCGCAGTTTTGCAGTCCGGTGACCAGGACCCAGACCCTGTCTGGGCGGTGGTTGGACGACCGGGACCCAGTATGCCTGATGTTGAAGTTAGGAGTCACAGTGTGGAATGGATGAGCAGGGTCTGGTGCAGGGTAACCGCACACCCCCTGGTGTTGAGCACCAGCGTTTGTGCGGCCACATACCATGACCCTGATGCAGCTTCAGTAAAAAGAGTACTGGATACCATAAGCCATCACCAGACTGATCCGCAACTTGGAACAGGATGTGACATTCACTGTCTCGGCGTTCTCACCCTGATGCTGCTCGCCTGTCTGCGCTGCAGCGTAACTTTGGCCTTCCCGCTCACCGCCTCATATGCGACATGCCCACAAGGTGGAACTCCACATTACACATGCTGGAGAGACTGTGCGAGCAGCAGCAGGCGATAGTGGGGTTTAGCTGCAGCATGCACGAGTCAGTCGCTGTGCACCAGACTTTCCCTCCAATTGATCAGAGTTAAAGGATTTCAAGTGGACTCATTACAATTACAGGGCCTCTAAAGAGTCCTGTATTGTTATTTGTCGTCACTACCTCCCCGCGTCGGGAGTGGGTCATTTGCGCGCCTGCTGCCTTCCTTGCATGTGGTAGCCGTTTGCCAAGGTCCCGGTACGGAGTCGAACCCTGATTCCCCGTTACCCGTGGTCACCATGGTAGGCGCAGTAAATGGCATCGAAAGTTGATATGGATTGACATACGAATGCGTCGACGCCTTGTCATTGGGAGCACATTGAAAAAGTGCTCTAGCATGACGAGCTGGGTGATCTCCTCCAGGAACTTGGCTTGATGGGAGTTGAGCCAGTTCTGGGTGGCCCTTGTGATGCCACGGTGTATACCCAGATATATCAGAGCTGCTGCAGAAAATGCGGGCCATCTGTGCGCACTTTCGCCATTCTCACCCTGCTGCTCGTCTGTCTGCGCTGCAGCGTAACTTCGGCCTCATGAGACTGTGCGAGCAGCAGCAGGCGATAGTGGAGTTTCAGATGCAGCACGCACGGGTCAGTCGCTCTGCGGATCAGTTTTCTTTTTTTATAAGCCCCAATATTTTCCCCAATTATAAAATATATATATATATATATATATATATATAAAAAAAAAACAGTGTTGGCTACCTCCTCCTCCTCCACCGCTGCTTCCACCTACACCACCACGTTCACCGCCTCCTCAACCTATGGGTCACTTAGTATAAACTATGTACACAATAGCAGAGGCTTGTGAAGGCCTTTTCTCCATGCATCAGGAGTTGAGCTCAGTTTGAACAATGAAAGAGAATACCCTGCACTCCAACCCTCTCTCAGATGGATAATTCTGGTGATCTTCCTGACAGCCATGCTTTAGATTTTGATTTATGTTCTTCCAAAGCTAAAATCAAAGATTCCATCTAGTGCTATTTTATGGCTCAGCTGTATTTAAATCTTTTAGGTATTTTATGTTATTTTAAGTAATTTTCCTATCCACATTTATTTGCAGGGCACTTGTCCTACTGTTACTCCAATTTCTTCATTTTGCAGCCCTCTAGCCCTTTCCAGGAGTTTCTTAGAGCCATTTTTGTGCCCAAAAGTTCGGGTCCCCATTGACTTCAATGGGGTTCGGGTTCAGGGTCAAGTTTCGATCCCGAACCTGGACTTTTTTTCAAAGTTTGTCCGAACCCGCCGGACCCGAACATCCAGGTGTCCACTCAACTCTAAACAGCATATTCATTGTGTGGATTGGGTGCCATTGATTTAGAAAGAGGCAAAATTAAATTTTCATCCAAGAATTAATGCCTTTTTTAATACATGGCAATATCTTACTGGCCTTAGCAACTGTGATTGACTTTGCACAATGTTGCCTAGCTTGTTTTCGTAAACAATTTCCAAATCCTCTCTGTGTGTTGTTATCCTTAATTCACTACCATTTAGGGAATAAGTTGCTTGTGCATTCTTTGACCCAAAATGCATTATTCTACGTTAAATTTAATTTGCCATGTGAGTGCCCAGTTCCCCAATCTATCTCAATCCCTCTGCAGCAAAGTAATATCCTGCTCACATTGTTTTGCCTTACAGAGGTTTGTGTCATATGCAAGCACTGAAACATGACTTCAATGCCTATTTCAAGATAATGTATACATATGATAAACAGAAGTGGTCCCAGAACATACCCTGAGAGGCACTACTTACCATTTTTGCCTGGCTTAAAATTGTACCATTAATGATAACTCTGTGTACTCTATTGTGAGGAACCATACTGAATGCCTTAACAGAATCTAAGTAGATCACATTCACTGCAACACCCTGATCCTATACTTCTACTTACTTCTTCGTAGAATGCAATTAAATTAGTTTTTCATGACCTGTTTCATAAACCCATATTGATTTTTTTTAATAACACAGTTCTTCTCAATTAATCTCCGAATATTATTCCATAATAAGCCATCAAATACTTTCTCAGTCACAGAAGTTACGGTCACGGGTCTATAATTTCCAGACACAGATTTAAATCCTTTTTGAATAGGAACCATATCTGCCTTCCTCCAATCCACTGGTACAATTCCTGAAAGAAAAAGAATATTGAAAAATTAAAAACAGAGGTTGACTTATTCCTACGCTTAACTCCTTAAATACTTCTGGGTGAATACGATCAGGCCCGGGTTTTTTTTTTACATTAACTTTCTTTAGTTGCTGAAACACCTTGTTTTGAGTCATTCAATCACAATATTTCTGCAAGTTCTTTTTTATCATCAATCATTTGCATATCTCTCCCCATAGGTTCGTATGGGTAGATATATTCCTAAATTTATGTGCTTACATATATTTTTGGGGTTGGTTTTGCTCTCTTTGGTTATAACTTCCTCATTTTCTCATTTAGCAAATCTAATCACCTTTATGCATGCATTACTGGCTTCCTATATCTTATTTAGGATGTCTCTAGTTTAAATGCTTTAAATGCCTTTTTACATTTTAATTTATTGGTTTACTTTCCCACTAAGCCAACTTTTACTTTGTTTCTTTAAAGGGACACTATAGTCACCTGAACAACTTTAGCTTAATGAAGCAGTTTTGGTGTATAGAACATGCCCCTGCAGCCTCACTGCTCAATCCTCTGCCATTTAGGAGTTAAATCCCTTTGTTTATGAACCCTAGTCACACCTCCTGCATGTGACTTGCACAGCCTTCCATAAACACTTCCTGTAAAGAGAGCCCTATTTAGGCTTTCTTTATTGCAAGTTCTGTTTAATTAAGATTTTCTTATCCCCTTTATCTGTTAATAGCTTGCTAGACCCTGCAAGAGCCTCATGTATGTGATTAAAGTTCAATTTAGAGATTGAAATACAATTATTTAAGATAAATTATATCTGTTTGAAAGTGAAACCAATTTCTTTTTCATGCAGGCTCTGTCAATCATAGCCAGGGGAGGTGTGGCTAGGGCTGCCTAAACAGAAACAACGTGATTTAACTCCTAAATGACAGTGCTTTATTTAGCTAAAGTAATTTAGGTGACTATAGTGTTCCTTTTATATTTATTACCCGATGGTACATATTGAGAAATGCACTTTCTAATATTTGTTTGAAGATATTCCATGTATCCTCAGTGTTTTTTTCACAAAAGAGTTTCCATTTTTGCAAGTCAATATGATGTAAAGCTGCACTTATCTTATTGAAATTTTCCCTTTTTAAATTATTTGTTTTAGCATACCTTTTGTGCATTAGCTTTTTTGAGTTTATTTCAAAACGCACCATATTGAGGTCACCATTTCACAAGTATTCTCCTACTAGAATGTTTGTCAATAGATCAACATTGCTTGTTATAACCAGATCCAGACAAGCATCCTTTCCAGTTGGTACTTGCAACAGTTGTGACGTGAAAGAAAACAAATATTTTACTCACTTGTTCCAGAGCAGGCGGACTGCTCTATGGATAGGGCGTGGGTGGAATAATCCCCACCGAGGATATTGCTTGGAAGTGAAATTACAAGTGAGTAAAATATTCGCTATTTATATTCCTGGTATTTTATACCGTGAGCACTATTTGTAATTTCTTTTTATATTTTTTATGGTCCTCACCCAATGAGAAGCTTTATTCACGTATCCTTTAAAGTGGGGATCTATACTGGAGCTAGTTCGAGCTCCTTAATACGTTAGGAGGACTATATCTATTTTATATTTTATACACGTTGCCTAACATGTCAGTTTATGTGTCATGGGGCCATGGAATTTTGATCTGTTTTAGATGGCAAAAAATTTGGGATAGCCATAGGATAACTTGCAATTCCACATAGGTGGTTTATCTCCTCACATGTACATGTGGTTTTCAATATGTGGGACAGACCACCAGATTCCTCAAGAGGAGATTTAGGGAACATAAATGGGCTATTCTACATGAGGACAAAAAATCACCTGTCACACATCATTTTCAGTTAATACGAGAGAGCGATCCCACACACATCTCATTGATGGGGATACAACGGATACCAGTAAAGATAGATATTTTAAATAGGAAAAAAGCTCTCACTACCGTAGAAACCAAATGGATATTTGAGTTAAACACATTAAATCCATATGGTTTGAATGAGGAACTTGATCAGTTGCCATAACAGCCTATTGACAACATGATTTTGAGTTGTATCGTATTTATTGATTGTTTTATTTTTGCAGTGCGATGGAATGCATATATTGAGTTTATCCTGATATGATCATATTTAACCTTTGTTTTAATTTTGTTTTATGATTTAGTTATCTATTTTCCATCTTGAGATAATCAAGTACATCGATACGGCTTTTGATACTCCGATGCACTTTATTATATTCCCTATATATATATATATATATTATTAATTTATGGTCATTTATATTTACATATTTATATTCTTATTTTGATTGGTGAGGTTAACTTTATGTTTGTTGTCACTATATTTTTATTGTTACTCTCTTTTTACACAAGTTTTGGCTTCACGTGAGTTACTTACCCTGGGAAAACTATCCCTTATGCCAATCTTATTTGGCGTTCTTTTCCAGGTTTTTAATATACCGGATACCCTGGTGAAGGGTATATATATACAGTGTTTTACTTTTGGACTTTAGTCTTGAGAAAGTCTCATTATGTGACGAAATGTGTAGACTGCAGGTCCATTCGTTTTGGGAAACTGCCAGTCTTCAGCTCTATCTCGCTCATTTTGCCTCGCCCTTTTTGAAGTTACCGGCCACGGCGAGGTTACATGTTGACCCATTGGTGGACAGATTGGCATGCTCCCCCAGCCTGGTGTAGTGATGCGAACAGGGTAAGCTGCTTTCTATTTGTCCCAGAGTTTTTGTCCAACTTGGGAAGTATTGGCAGGACCCTTAGCATTCTCACACGGGTGGTGGGTTTGAGAGCTTCTTGCCCACTAGTTTATGCGGATCATCATTATTTCATCAAGTGTTACCAGAAAATTAGCATCTGTCTTTGACTTCGTAGTGGAGGGCCCCTCACACTGAAGGTGCTGTGATTATTATCTCTCTGTACGGATTATTTTTATTTACGTATTCATTTTGTTGGTATTATTTATTTACCTTGCATTATTCAGTCCTCTTTTATTTATAGTATCATCCTATTTACAGGGCTGCTGTTTTGAGGTTTTATATACAATAAACATATTTTATGTTGATTATTTGACAGCTTAGTGTATTATGTATAAGTGTATTCCCTTATTTTGTATTTGTAGATCCCTGCCAAACACAGCATAGGCTGGGGGATATTGCAACACTCTAATATTTTTTATATTGCCACATTGTGAGATAACATT